GACGGATTTTCTGCAACGGGTGTTACTTTATTTCATGCGCGATGAGTGGTTTATAACTTGATGGATAATATATTGTGGTACTAGATTTGATGGTTTTTTATCCATTTTTCTCTTGTTGCGAACTCGAGTTTCGAATACTTGATAATACAATATTCTTGTACCCTACCTACCAAGTAAACTAATCAGTAGCTTAATATCCGCACCCGACTTCCAACACACTGAACATCATCCATTTTCTCTAGCCATTACATTACTAATGATTTCTCAGATCATCAATCAAACGACTCTATGTACAACCAAACGAACATCCCGTACCATTCTTGATAACCACGCAAACTTTCACTGCCGGTTAAGCACCGTGTCTGATTACAAAGTAACGTACTCATATAATACGTTCCGTGCATCCTGCCACCGCCTAATCTATGTCCTATCCATCTATATACCGATTCATCTATCCATCCATTCATCCATTCACTCATTCTGTCATCGCTGATCAATCATCGCAAACCCCCCATCCATCCATCCATCCATCCATCCATCCACCACGCATCATCCATGAACTCCATTCATCCCGATATATGTACACATACACATACACATACACATACACAACCACGTTTACAATATATGCACATCATCTCTCGCATATTCATACATCCATACATACAAACCAAACCCCAAGCCCTCCTCTCTTCCAACTCACCTAACCAGCATCCGATATCGTTCATTTCGCTTCTGGGCTCCCTCCGGAAATCAAAATTATCTGACTAGGTAGGTAGTCTTCCATACTTATTCACAGAGTGCTACGTACGTGCGTATGTACGGGTGTGATATCGGAGAGGGGGGATAAGATCGAGATGTTGAAATGGAAAGCAAGTAAGTAAGCAAGCAAGCAAGCAAGGTCATTGTTGTTCATAATTCGTGATATTATGTATACATAAAACGCACACATATCTCTATGCAAACAATCAGAAAGACACGAGTAACATCCAAAATTTTGAGATGATATCAATAACATAGCATAGAGGACGTATTTTTCCTCCGCAACCCACCTCCACGTTTCCAAAGTTTATTCATTCTCCCCATGTTCTAGACACTGCGAGTTCTACAATCCTCTTCAGCTCCGTCTCCGACTTCCTAGATATACTTCATTCACTACTCGTGTTATCTGATTCTTCTCACAATACAATATCATACAATACAATCCCATCTCAACTCAACTCTCGAGTCATGAAAACATCCCTACATATCTCTTCTAACACTCATGCTTATCCTCACACCAATATCCATATCCATATCATATCACAATATAAATAAATGGAAATATCCAAAAAAATCATATTCCCCTTATCAGTGATAGGATCCTGCTATTGGAATTTATGAACACTAAAGAGATGTGATGTGATGTATTCTTCCATTTCTTCGAGACTTTGATTTCGGCTCAGAACTCCATAGTATAGTATCAGTTCCGAGAACCCGTGTAATAAAAATGAATGGACAATTAATGTTTAAATCCTTCATCGTAAAATCTCGAATGAAATGCACTGCACATAATTCTTTACATCGATAGTATTTATAAAAGAGCGATGAAATCAGACCGAGAAGAATGCATCGTACCGGTCCGCTAGCCGAGTCCACTCACGGGTTTGGGGTTGAGAGCGGGAGAGGTGTATATCTTGAGAAGATGCAAGTAGAAATATGAAGGGGACAGTAGACTAGCAATCATGCTGTAGAGCTCACTTAAACACTCTGTTATATAATGAGTTTTCGAATTAAAGAAAGGGGCCTCTCCATCCGTTGACAGTCCGTATCTAGCACCGATATGGTGTACTTTAATCTACCCAATGACTCGAGTTTAGCGGGTCAAATAAAAAACATAAAAGATGGCTCATGGAAGATTTTACATTTGATTGTATTCTAATATCTTTCAACATCACTGGGTATCTTATCTCGTCCATCTAATCCCCTCTTTCCAACAAACATTTTCCCCCTTCGCGAATGAACACCCCAACTCCCCAACCCATCGCTAAATGTATGCATTACAATTTCGCAGTAGTAAAGACAAAAGAAATATGATATATACAACAGCAATCTAATCCAACCCACCTTTTCATCTCCGGTAGAACGAGACATATATCCTCAATACGCCTATCGTATAGGTGATTCCATCCATAGCTCTTCTTGATTAGCTATCATCATCTCTTTAACCCACGAATCCGTCTGTCTCTTATCACTCATTTCAAACACAGCCGTGCGTCTATTCGTAGGACTTCGATAGGCTCTTTCGACGCTCTCTGGATAAAGGGTGGAAGGACCTCTATCCGCAAAATTCTGATGCACTCCAATTGCCTCCAGAGAATAGTTTGGTGGAAGGCTGTTCGCACAATTCTGATCCGCTTCAATTGCCCCCGAGAAATAGTTCGGTGAATATGTATTTGTAGAAATTGGATTCACTCCAACTGCTTCTGGAAAATAGTTCGGGGTATATCTATTCGAAGGATTTCGATAAGTACTACCAGCGCTCTCTGGATAAGAATTTGGTAGACTATTAGCTGGACTTTGAAAAGTATTATCTGCCGTTTCCAGATGAAAGCCTGGCGGACATCCGTTCGTAGAAGTTCGATTCGTGCCAGCTGCCGCTGGATAAAAGTAAGGAGCTTGTATATCCCGGGGTGGCTGATGATACACCTGAGATTGATTATGGTATTGATTTTGAAACTGTTGTGATGGCGCTTGATGATTGTATTGAAATTGTCCATGAGCAGCCTGTCGGCGTCGTTTCCACCATTTAAACACGGGGACACAAGCAACAATCAGAAGAACCAATGCGATACCGACTCCTATCCCGGCTCCTATAGCAATGTTGAGAGAGGAGTAGTCTGTTGTTGCATTTTGGCTGGATCCAGATGGCGATGAAGTTGTAGATTGTGTATTCGATACAGTGGTTTCTATCGTACTTGTTGGCATTATAATATCGGCTGCTGATGTGGTTGACGACGAGGTAGATGTGGTTGTATCCATGTTGAGAAATGGCCTTCAGGGCGGCCGCGTATAGGATTGTGAATTATATGTAGAGAAAGTGACGGCCAAATTCTAAGCAGCAAGAAAAGACAAAAGAAAGCAAAAACGATTCAAGGTTCCAAAGCCATTAAATTGTATGAACCAATTTCATACGCGCGAAGAGCTACTTCTTAGAACTGCGATTTTAGATGATATTCAGGTCGTTGACCAGAATCCATTCAAACGGCGCGTAGTGATGAGTTTGTTCCTGTCATTTTGACAAGAGTGGAGATTGAAAGCATGAAATACATTTTCCAGATAGACAAGGCCGATACAAATAATGCCTTGATCGTTGGAGGTAATGCCTTATGGGAGGCCTGTCGGCAGATTTCCCTTACCAACAGGATTCATAAATAGACAAGGCTGATTACATTTCATCGTCCCTATTCTCGCAGTCATTCAAGCGTGAACTTTGAGCTTGAACCTTTACTCACTTGAGAGTGGACATTCCAAGGCAACTAATGGATGGACTGGGTCTGGACTTAAATGGAGAGTTCCCAATGGTTGAAGCATACGAATGGTTGAATTTGGGGTGAGCTTTGTACGTAGGACCTAAGGGCACGATGTGTAGGAGAAGTTTGGCTTTCCTACAAATTAACCTTGCCGCAGAAGTCAGCTATCCACAGCTTGGGCCTCTTAAAGGCCTCTCCCTCATTGAAAATAGAAGGAACTAGACGGAAAGTGGAGCAAATCCGTTACTTTTTACCCGCGCGCATCACAGAATGAGAGTGAAGACTTAAAAATGAACCATAAATTGTAGCGAGTGTTTCAGAACAGAAGCCAAAGGTGGCGTTGATGGAAAACCTAATTGATCATATACCAATGTGGAATAGTTTATGCAGATTGGGCTTAAGCTATTGGATCGGTACAATGATGATCACGTGATCTCATTTTCTAGTCCATCCATCGACCTCAGCTTGCCTTCAGGCCTAAAGGATCTGAAACCGAAGCGAAGAAGGAGGATGTACTGGCAGATCAGTGCGTGTGATGTGGGCGCGCTTGTGGAGCTGCATGCCTACTGCTTTAATTCTTCACGAAATTTTATTTAGTTGCTATAAGTTACATATAACTGTGTGCTCATCCGTGAAGTTAAAGTCTGGCTCACATCGATAATAATCAATTTATTGAACTTAGGCCAACAGAAGCTTTGCTAACAGTGTGTTACAAGGCGCTGGGTTATACTGCGACTCTAATTCGAGGCAGTGATTGGAAAGCTACTTTCATCACTTTCGCAGTATTAAGAACGTACTCTAGATGCCGAAAACGCCATCCATCTATTTGAGCACTTTCAATGGTGGTAAAATTGACTTCTGGAGGAGCTTTGAAGTACAACTGAGCTTGCATCCCTGAGAGGTGTGGAACTGTTCGGGTCAATCCCAGCAAATGAAGAGGCCAAACCAAGTTTCTGGATATTGCAATACTTATTAAAGAATACTGAATGATCATGCCCATGCCCCTGAAGATTGGTTGGCCACGCGTGATAAAATGTAGTGGAAAATTCTGTCTCAAGGCTGGATCGCCCACCGTCACAAATGGCTCTGCAGTATGATTGAGCTTAAAAAAACTGGATGTAGAAAGTGGAATGACTAGCATTGAATGATAACTTTGACAAAGTCTTTAGGGCAACGATTGACGATTGTGTGGAAACATCCATAGAAAGGGTTGACGTTATTGGATCGATGCCAGTTATAATCATAGTATCTGCAAGTACTTGTTGTAGGTTTGCAGTGATTCCCAACCACTATCCCCGATAGCCACCCATTGTGGGCTGCGAAAGATGGGGCACACACAGCCATTCAGTTCCTCCAATAGGTTTTCAGATACATTGACTTCCCGCCTACCATCGCAGCGACATTGGTAAAGATAAAATCCAATCAATTTGAAACTTGAATCACTCGGAGGGACAGCCGATTCGTTCCAGATTGACAAAATAGAAATTGCTACTGAGCTTTATTTATCGCCATTGCAAATCTGACATCTTCTGTGTAGTTAAATGTACTTGATCGTACGGAATATAAGGAAAGAGTACTGTGAAGACCGCCAAAAGCTTGATGCTTGATGAATCTGATTTCGTGCAGCCAACACTACTGAACGCAGTGTTGACTGAGGCTTGAAGACATACAGTATGGCCAGTTAAATTCTCCTAAAGCAGGAACTGAATATGATTGGTCTGAAGATCGAGCATCGCCAGACCGACAATGATCAAATGTGCATTGCTGTGACAGCCAGGGAAAAATGAAGCATATAGTAAGGAAACTGCAATTCTGGTAGCTGCATAACACACGAGAGAGTCTCAAAGTCTTCGTGCCTTCCAGAATTTCTAAGAGAGCCTCTGAGGTTCACTAAGTTCCCTTGGTGGTGTCTGTTGCACGGATTCGGGTGGTTGGCCTCCGAGCACGTTTCTCTCTATTAGTTGGTAAGATCCTAGTTACCTTACTTGAGTTCTAGCTCAGCAATATGCCCTCCATTAATTGCGATTGATCCCATTTAATTTTGATCGAAAGAAGCAGTTGTGATGAAATTTAATGGATGCCGTAGTGCAGAGCCGTTCGAGTCCCGGGGGTATTTGTAAACAATAAGCAATAAACTCCTCAGCCCTCAACTCCCAACCTTCAAGCTCAGATTCAAAGTCTCAGTACATACCCTCCATCAATCTGTCAGCGATTCCCTCCATTCTTTTGTCACCGCCCAAGACCCTTCTTTCCGTCTCACGATCACGCCCATCCTCTCCGATTATGACACATTTGACGACTTCCCCATTCATCCCTACAACGCATCTACCAACCTTGCCATCTATCCACTCAATCCTCACTTGCTTTGCTTCTGCATCAGCAGCACTGATATCTGCGATCTCTCGCTCCTTTTCTTTTCCTTTCCTGCTTAGTTTCTCATCCAAAGAGAACCCTTTTCGTAGATGCTTGATGGACGCCACACGTAAATGATAACCCGTAATCTCTCGCCGTAATTTCCGTACAAACGCAGTCAAATCTTGTCGTTTCTCTTTGACGATACCCTCAGCGACTTTAGGAGCAGGCAAATATTTCGCAGCCAGGCTAGCCAAAGGGATACATGGAGGCACTGTATGCCGATGTATTCTCAGTGCTGCTGATCCAGAGTATGGTTTATTTAACATTATGTAATAAGGTCGAACAAATTTCCCCGAACTGCTGGCTTCAATTCGAAGTCCCAATATATGCCCATTGTCCACAGCATTCGGGTCCGGATCTTTGATTTGGAAGGATGTAATTGATGCGCATGCGCGATATAGATTCTCGAGATTATGAGTTGTTTGAGCTACAGAAGTCGCAAGCAGTGGATCGGAGTCTGTAGGAGTAGTAAATTGGGCGGATTTCGTTTTAGAGGAAGACTTTCGCAAGTTCGACAAAATGGATTTTGAAGCTTGAGAAGAAAGGATAGTAGCCGTTTGAAGGCGACGTTGATCTTTTAATGACGCGACTATAGATTGATTAGCTATATATAATGGTGGAAGTGAGATGGGACAATCAGATTCACTTTGTTCCTGTAGTGAAGCTATTTCATTATCCAATTCTATGCCAGCCGCGTCTTGAGGACTAATGATTTCTTCTGTAATGTCCATGTTTGAATTCGAATTGAAGCCCACGGATTGTGGGGAAGAGCGTGAGCTTCTCATGATTTGTGGTGGAAGTATCAATGTGTAGGATGAGTTGTCGGAAATATGTTTCTTTTCCACTCTGTGCTCGGTATCTTTGTTGATGTTGACATTGATTTTTATGTTTGTCGCGTCGCATGTCACTTCATCGCCATTTCACGTGTGTCGTGGGGGATACCCTATATTTACAGCCTAGACTTTTCTTTCCAACTCCTATGGTTCTGGTCATATATCTATCTATCTGTCTATCTGGATAGTACGATAAGTAAAACACTGTTCAAGAGTAGATCGATTGACTCTTTTAAAAAGTAGAAGTAAAGTATATACCAGCTAGGTATCTATTGGTAGGCTTTCACCCTCTCCTTTCCTTCTTCTCAATGCAACTCTTTGACATTTCCAAACATGTTTCTCTTCGAGTCCTTTGTACAGTCCCTCAGCAGCCTTGTTCGCCGAAGAAGCCACATCTCGTTTCAGAAGCACCCTCGCACCCTCGCACCCTGGAAAATCAAGCCTTAAAGCGTGTGTGTGATAAATAGCTATGATTCTTTCGCCGCAGGAATGGGATCTTGAGTAATCAAATCATTTAATCAATCCACTATCTCGTACAAACTACCACTAAGGAACTAAAGCTTCGAGTAAATTTAAAAGAGGACACTTTAGAGGCCAACAAGACCTCTAGAGTATTCTCAATTCAAGATACTATATGGATGCCTACTCCATTGGGTGATACACTTCCTTCATTAACTTCTCAATCTACTTCAGATAATCCACCACATTCTCACCTACCTGTCCATCACGATCCTCAATTTCCCTACGCGCAAGAACTAGACGATTTATCAACAGCTACTTCACGCCACAGAATCGTTTCCTCTTCTAAATCGAAATCGAAATCTAGACCGAATTTGAATTTGAATTTGCACGGCGCAACACAGGCAGAAGACTCGAAACATTTACTTGGGGATCAAGATTCTACAGACGAAGACGAGGAGGAGGTTATTGAAACGGATTCTATGGGTACTCGTTCTCGAAAAGGCAAAGTTCCAGAGCCACTTGGCTCTTCCTCTGCCACAAGAGGTGAAGACTCTCAATCACAAAAGGGCAGCATGAATGGCAACGTTGAGTACCGGCGCAAAAATGCGAACCTCGACTCTCCTGGAGTGACTGCGAATCTCATGTCGCGCGAGTCGTTTACGTTGGATGATCCCATACCGAAGACTCCTACCCTCAACAACCATGGGTTTTCCGAATTGCCAATGCAGGACAAACGGAACTTTCTTCTTCTAGTCCTATTATATTTCTTGCAGGGTGTTCCAATGGGTCTCGCGACCGGCTCGGTACCTTTTCTACTCAAACCACATATGTCGTACAGCGCTTTGGGAGTTTTCAGCTTAGCTTCATATCCATACTCTTTGAAGCTCCTCTGGAGTCCGATAGTGGATGCAATATGGAGTCCTAAAGTAGGAAGAAGAAAGAGCTGGATCATGCCAATTCAAATGCTATCAGGATTAGGAATGATATGGCTAGGTTCTCAGATTAAGGAGATGATGATCACAGCTGGAGCAAATGATGGAGCAGGAATCTGGGGTTTCACTGGATGGTGGTTCTTTTTGGTATTCACGTGCGCCACACAAGACATCGCGGTCGATGGATGGGCTCTGACCTTATTGTCACCGGGAAACATTTCATATGCATCGACCGCCCAGACCGTAGGATTAACAGCTGGACAATTCATGTCCTTCACAGTTTTCCTAGCTTTCAATGCCCCAGATTTCGCCAACAAATGGTTCCGAAAGACCCCCCTTGACGAAGGAGTTATGACTTTGGGAGGATACCTCACATTCTGGGGTTGGACATACATAATTGTTACTCTTGGCCTCGCGCTTTTGAAGCGTGAAGAGAAAACCAAAAACGAGGATGGAATTTGGGATGTCTACAAGGTTATGTGGGGAGTTCTCAAGCTCAAGAATATTCAAACGATTATCATTATCCACTTGATTGCGAAGATTGGTTTCCAAGCTAATGATGGAGTTACGAACCTCAAACTCATAGACAAAGGATTTAGTCAAGAAGATATGGCTTTGACAGTTCTTATTGACTTCCCTTTTGAGATTGGTTTGGGATACTACGCCGGAAAATGGTCGACATCCTACACACCTTTACGTCTATGGTGTTGGGGGTTTGTTGGTCGTTTGATTGCTGCTGTTATTGCTCAAATCACCGTTGTTATCTTTCCCGCTAACGGAGTCGATACTTGGTATCTACTTGTTGTTATTGCGGAACATATTTTCTCGACATTTACCAACACTGTTATGTTTGTGGCCATCTCAGCTTTCCATGCCAGGATTGCGGATCCTGTCATTGGTGGGACTTATATGACATTGCTCGCTACGTAAGCACCCCTATTTCCAATTCAAATTTTCATCTCACTAATATCAAACAGCGTTTCGAACTTGGGCGGTACATTCCCTCGTTTCTTCGTCCTTAAGCTTGTTGATTACTTCACAACTGCAACATGTATTCCACCGGGATCCGACTATAAACTCGCTGCTGATCTCAAGGGGCCTCTCATCACATCTACCTTCTCCTGCGCCTTGGCTGCTGAGAAAGATCGATGTTTGTCTGGAGGTGGCGTTTGTGACATTGAGAGAGATGGATACTATGTTGTGAACATTATTTGTGTCATTTTTGGAGCTGTCACATTTTGGGGATATATCAAACCAGCAGCTCTGAAATTACAAGCTCTACCATTAAGAGCTTGGAGAATCAGTGAGGGCAGTAACTAATTGGCGGCAAGATAAGACGGGCGGCAAGAAATGCCATTATATGTAAAAGTTGTAGAATAGACATGTATTTTTGATTGACAATGAGGGGGACGAAAGGCGGCAGCGAGAAATGGTATCTATGAATAGCTATGCAAACATGGAAATAGAAATGAACTTATTGATAGCGATGCTGCATCTACGTTCACATAATGAATGCCCTGAATAGTCTACCAAAGGAACTCTCTGATGATGTGAGATCTCGAGCTACTTGTTACACAATGAAGTGAGCTGCTCATCATCTGAAGTGGTATCTATACAGCTATCTCGATCATCCTAGACCCGCTTGTCAGCCGGAGCTGAGTAGGAAGGACCTGAACGCCTTGAAGAAAATATCTTTTGTCATGAGTTGTACCAATATCTCACATCGACATACAAAGACATGAGACGTTGTGTCCATATACTTCAGACCGACTTTTGCAGACATTCAAAGTCCAATGACAGTCACAGCTTCATCCACACAAATCTCCGTCAACGCCAAAGTTGCGTACGACGTCGGTATCGTCAGCTTTCCACAATTCTTAGATTATAGAAAGTTGGCTCTTTGGCTTTTGATGCTAGTACTGTAAAATGTAGGGATGATCGATCTTCTTACGAAACAAAAAGGTAACATTCCCACATGGGTCCTCTATCCGGACGCCCGAATTACCAAAACAGACCTCCGATACAACCGTCGACCGAGGTCAAGAGGAAAGCCGGAGTTTCAAATACCTCGTAAGTCAGTATTATAAAGGTAAGTCACAGGGACGCATCCAAGAAGTTTATGAGTAGTTAACAGACTACTAATAAAATGTCGTCGCAGCTTACAACACCCATTGGAGATGCTTTTGAACCCGGGCTCGCGAACCCCGCAGCAACATCCCCAAAATCAATATCAACCCCACCATCAAGCTCGACCTTCACACTTTCCTTTAACCTCTCAAGTCCGCGACCTTCATCACCGACCTCCTCAATCTTTTCCTCTAGCTCACAAGATACCATGTCGACATCTAGCTCAATGCCAGGCTTGGCACGAGACAACACCGCGGAAATCGCAGAACGGGATTACTTTTCGGAGAACCCTCCACCAGTGACCCTTGAAAAGCATACCTCTCTTGCAGAGGAATTCATCAATTTCCACGCTGCTGCTGGCAGACGTGTGGTATTGGTTACATCAGGAGGAACAACTGTCCCATTAGAGCGACAGACGGTGCGATTCATAGACAATTTTAGTGCCGGAACGCGTGGGGCTACTTCTGCTGAATATTTCCTGGAATCAGGCTACGCGGTTATCTTTCTCCATCGTCAATTCAGTCTTCAACCATATTCGCGCCATTACAGTCATGCTACGGATTGTTTTCTCGATTTCCTTCACGAAGGTCCTGATGGAAGTGTGGTCGCAAATGATGAATACCGCGAGAAGATGTTGAAGGTTCTCAGACAGTATAATGCGGCCAAGTCGAAGAATCTCCTTTTGACATTACCGTTTACGACAATTACGGATTACTTGTTCATACTTCGAGCGATTGCGCAACTTATGCGCCCGTTGGGTCCTCGCGGGTTATTATATTTGGCTGCGGCTGTGTCGGATTTCTTCGTGCCTCCAGAACGTATGGTGGAACACAAAATACAATCTACAAATGCAACAGATACAAATACACCTGAAAAGGGAAGTGAAGATAAGGGCAATGGAGAGGACGAGGAAGCTTTTGATAATTTCGATTCCTCTCCAGCGGTACCACGGAGCAAGCGTCTAATTGTCGATTTGGATCCTGTACCTAAGTTCCTCAAAAATCTCGTGGATGGCTGGGCTCCTGAAGGCATGATAGTTTCTTTCAAGCTTGAAACCGATCCCGCAATTTTGGTTCACAAGGCAAAATACTCCTTGGACCGCTACCAGCATCATTTGGTTATTGGAAATTTACTAGCTACCAGAAAATGGGAGGTTGTTTTCGTAGCGCCTGGTAGCAAAGATCAGTGGATCAGAGTTCCTAGGAGTAAGAGAAAGAGGACAATCAGTGGGGTCGAAGATCTAGTAGGTGCTGCAGCGAGGGGAGGCGAGATTGGCGATGAGCCTCTTGATCCAAATGAGCTACCTGATGGGGAACCTGAGCTTGAGATTGAAAGTTTGATTATTCCTGCCGTGGAAGCATTACACACATCTCATATCAATACCCCTAGCAAACGGGAGAGGTAAAAGTTAATCCTTGTTTTGTAAACAAAAAACAAACGCATCCACGTCACAATGCCGTCTGACACTTGATATGACGATGAGAGGAGAAATGGTGGTCACGTCAACTAGATGTACCAACCTCGTGGGATTGATCCTACCATACCTAGGTAGGATGAACGTCTCACATTGGACATGGTGAACAACTGAGATTACAAGCGAATTTCTTTTGCTGCTCGTATGCTATAATAGGATGAAATGTCAAATACAATACTCATTTGATTATCTAGATCTACATGTATACTTCATTCAATTCGCAGGACGCCTTCAAGCCTTGTAGAATTATAAGTGCCGTTGTCACATTCTCAGTCGAGATCACATCAGAGCACACACTCTTATCAGCTATGATCGTCGAACTGTGTTAGCCTCGGTAAAATCTTTCGATACATCCAGTTCGGTTGGTTCATTTGTCAAAGCAAACGGCCATGCAGATCTAGGGAACGTGCCAGTTTTAGTTTAATCATCCGCTTGTGACAATGCTGAGTGTAGCGAATAGTGTCATGCTATGCAATTGTTAGAGGCTACATGTTTGCGCCATGCTGACCAGAAACGCCTCTCTAATGTATATCATAAAGCCCCTCTAATTTTCGATTGCTGTGCACCTCGGTCTGAACGCTCAATGATCGTGCTATTGTTTGACACCCATCTGAATTATTCCTGAAACAATAGAGAAAGACCCTACTCACAGCATTGGCAAAGTGGTAGACAACATTGCTGGGGATAAATTGCCGGTACTGTAAGTGATGGATGGTGGATGGTGGATGGATAGACATGTTACTTATAAAACAAGGCATCCTTCAACTCCCATGAATTTGGAATTGGGGATGAGCATGAACTTTAAGTAGTTACGGGGACGTGTGTTCTACGGAGGGGTCTATAATACTCTATATATCCCGATCGATCGGAGAATTTTCGTTGGCTAGTGTTGCACATCGTAGATAGTTTATATAGTATGTCGGTTCATCACAATACCCGCTATAGTGTCTTTAGATGGATGATCAGTGACTCAGGAATGGCTGATATCACCATACATTCGCGACAAATCCTCCGGTTAGAATTAGCTGGAGGCTGGTATGGAGAGGGTTTGCAGATTACTGTAAAGTCCGAACACTAATAGTTGGAAGTGCTAATGCGGTGAACGAATCAGGTGTGTGTTGTTCCTGGATGAAGTGGTTGGTTGAACTAGATCGTCCATACTTCAGAGCTCATCTGATATGATAGCCGTCTAATACGCCAACCCAAAGGGGGAAGGAGAGTTGTGTATCTGGGTTTGATATGAGGAGAACACTGAAATCATCAGGAATGATTATTGAAACTGCTATGAGGGAGTTGACACACAAATCTATACTGACTGATTGCACAGTGAAAACGGATCTAACATCGGATGCTTTCCTTCAGATAGAGTTTTTCTTTGCTGTGCCTATCCAGTAGCTAGTTCGTCTAGAAGGAATAAGAAAAGGCAGTGTGATGTAGCGCAATGTGACTAGGAAAGTGTAGTATAGGAACTATTTTCATAGCAACACAGTGTTGCCCTCACATCTAATCGTTTGGTAGTCAAGATAGTGTCATTAATGGATCGTCTAGGTGTGTTCCTTCCGGACAGGAGAGAGGCGCCTGCCAATAAACATGTGCGATTCATGGTCTTGCCCCAGTAGCAATTCTTATTCCTGCAGTCGGGCGATTGGCGGCGTTGACAAATTAGCATGCATGTATCTACCCCTTCATCGTTAAATCTTGGAAGCCGAACTTTCATCGTTTTTCTTCCCATACTACCACCCCTAATAAATCGTTTGGTCCATCGTCTAACTTTGGGAGATTTAAACACAATCTCTACATGTTTGCTTGTTGTTGCTAACTGCATTAGAGAGGAAGAAAAGATTTGTGTTATCAAACACTACTACCGTTATATTCCCTCGCAATTTCTAAGGCCCTTACTACTTTATTCCTTGCAAATAATTCTCCGAATATCTCTTAAGTCAAATTGGCTTTTCCCGCCTTGCTTGGTCCATCATATCATTGATTGACCCTTGCTGTCTATCGCCCAAACCCAACCCCACTGGCCACCCGGTTTTATATCAGTCGTACCATATCTCAATCTATCGATTCAACCTTAGATATGTATGAGTGTCGACCGCAGAATCAGAAACTGCCTTCGCGTTGAAAGAGAAGGCTTTTCGACAATGTTATCAGCGTTGCGCGCCAGATCTCATCTTGACATGCAATACGAGGCTGCACAGCCTATCGAATATAATGATGATGATTATTTCCGCGAAGTGTTACAGTTGGACGGGCTAATACAGACGGAGATACAATATGACGAAAGATTGAACAAAGAGGCAGAAAATTTGGGAATTTCGTTACCGGATCCTTCCGCAGACGAAAGAATCGATAGTCCTCCATGCGAATCCCCTTTCAATCAATCGCATCACACACATACCGACTCGTCCTTATCTCAAGAAAGCGATTCTACAGGATTAACGTCGAGATCATCGCATGAACAATTGGACATTTCATCATTACCACAACCATGGAGAAGACCTACGGCAAGGAGAAGTTTATCATTTCACGATTACGAGAAATTTGTAAAGCAAATCGATACTCAGAATAAAATCCTAATACCTCCGCCGATACCTGTCAGTGCCCCGGAATCAGCGCCATCCCTCTTTTCGGTGTCCTCGAAGCGCTCTTATATCAGCATCAAGAATGGAATCAAAACCCGCTTCCGCCGTAAGCCCAAAACATCTGGGGAACAAGTAATGTGAGTATATTTTCTCAAAGACAAAAAGCTCAAAGAAAAATGCTAATTATTTAGCTCTTGCATCTGTTGTCGGGAAGAGTTCAAGAATTCTAGCACGTTGCATACACTTCCGTGTGCTCACAATTATTGCGAAAAATGTCTTCGAGTTCTGGCCATGCAAGGCTGCAAAGAAGAATCGAAGATGCCACCCAGATGTTGCAGCCAAGCCATACCAGGAAACACAATCAAATCGGTCCTGGATAAAGAAGAACAGAGTTTATTCATGAAAAGCGTTGTACAATTCAGTACGCCATGGGAAGCCAGGATTTTCTGTCCAAATACCTCTTGTGGTGAATTTATTCCGACACTCGGCAAAATCGATCCCAAGCAGCCGTTTGAGGTGGTTTGTCGAACTTGTGGAGATAAAGCTTGTTCGATATGCAAACGTGCGGCACACCCGAGTGGCCAAGATTGTCCTGAAGATTACGAATTAGAAGCTGTATTGAGAATGGCGAAGAATGCAGGATGGCGTCGCTGTTACAAATGTAGAACTCTGGTAGAACTATCTCAAGGTTGCAGTCATATCACTTGCCGGTGTAAAGCCCAATTTTGTTACATTTGCGGGGCTGTCTGGGATCCTTCGGTTGGCTGCCCAAATTACTGTAATGGCGAGGAAATGCTCGAACGTCGACGTCTCGAAGAAGAGCAGCGAATTGCAGAAGAGGAAAAGGCAAAATTAGCTAGGGAAGAAGCAGTGAAGTTAGAAGCGCAGGAACGTGCAGCGGCCGAAGAACGGACCAGAAAGAATGCCACATTGAACGCCCTTCGGGCTTGTCAAATTAATGAAAGAGACCGATTTTGCGCCTTTGAGAGAAAAATGAAGTGGATCATGTGGACGCGGCACGGTCGAGCCAAAATTGATATTTTGGATCGCTACGGTGAGCTCTCAACAAAAATGAAAGAACGCCATCAAAGGACCTCAACGCATCTAGAAGATCGGCAAGTCGCTGCTGAGATGGAGCTGAGAGCCACTTTAAAGCAAAGCGAAAGAAGCGTGCAAATTCGTTTGAAGCATATGGAAGCTTACTGCAATGGACTTGGTAGAAGTTCTGGTGGTTATGATGTACAAAGAATTGTTACCGAGAAAGATCTTAGAGAGCTTGGGCAGCAATACAACATTCGGGACGACTTGGGTCGTTTACATCAGAGCAGGATTAACGTTATGCGGGACAAGCAAGCGAAACAAATGGAAAACTTAATCATTCGACAAGACGATGAACTTAAAAATCTAATGGTCAAGCAGAATCAAGAGTTAGAGGCTCTAGAGGAGATGCATAGCAGAGAAGAAGAAGGAATAATGACACTGTTCATAGAAAGAAAATCACGACTCACACGGAGATGGTACTTAGTCGAAGAGGTGGAACGAAAGAAGCTCACTAATGCAGATGGCGTGCAATTCGTAGCCATGCCACCGATACTGTGGCCTCAATCAATGAAGTCTCCAGCTCTCGGCCTGGAAGCTGTTTTCGAGTGAAGCTTCATGATTTTTAAAGCTTCCATCTTTTATTTTCTCATCGCGACGAATTTTTGTGGCAAAATTACACTTTCGCGACACATATGTACGATTATTTTGAAGGTTATGTGATTTGAATCACCTCATCTCGTTCAAAATTCAGGGACTGAGCATTGGCGCTTAGGAGAGGATGAAAGAACTTTAATACATTGGTACCGGCTGGATCAACTAATGGGTGGAATTAGTGTTTTTAGGCTGTTGACCTCTTAGGATTTTTCGTTGGCTGGATTATAAGGAAAGGTTATTTGGAGGGTTATTTGAGTCTTGAGACTGTGAGGGATTTTTATTATGGATTTATTTTATGGTGTCCCATGATTTTGGGAGTGATGGATGATATGGATGACGAATGTGTATGGCCGCGATGAAAAGGAGTATATATACCCAATGGTTTTTTTGTCTTTTTAATTACGATATTAGGAATTTTATATATCAATTATACTACAGTGTGGTTCTTGATGTGATGATGAAGAGGGTGGTGGGTCTTTCTCCTGGGTTCGTTGATGTGGATGAAAGGAGAGTATAAAGAATTGAGAAGAAAGAGGAATTATCGAGATTGAGCTCCTGCATTTAGCTACTGGGTGTAGCTACCTATCACCCAGCTTCAAGACATGAAGTGCGAAGTAAATCCGGAGATGCGGAATTGACTACCTAGGTATCTAACAATTATCTACGATAGGCGACTAGCTTGAGGAGAATATGGCTACACCCCACCCCGCATGTTCCTCAGGCTCAGGGTTCCTACTTATTTACATTATCATAATAGTTTGTAAGCACCGAGAGGCGAGTGAGAATCCCTAGTATCCCGGCAGCCTTTGGTCCGGGTCCGGGGTAGCGGGGCTCGGGGTTGATACTGTACGAGTGTACATAGCGTGTGTGGGGTTGGGGCTTGGGGCTTGGGGTTTGGTAGGTTGTATTTGTCATTCTTGGGAATGGGCTTGGGCTTGTGGGTTGTGGGTTGTGGGTTTGTGGTGGGTAGGGGGATGGTAGGGGGTGGTATGGATGGATTGCTGAGGGATAGTGAGGAGTTTTCGTATATAGGTTGAGGGGTGGGAACTTTGGGGGATTGGATTTTTTTTATTTTTTTTGGAAGTACGGGTTCGTGTTTTGAGTAAGGATTTTGAGGATTTTGACATTGTTGGAATAGAGATTGAGATATTGAGATATTGCATGTTGGAGTATTGAGATATTTTTAGGAAGCTAGTTGGTTTGGATTTGATGGTTGGGAATTGGCAAGGGGTTGAATGGAGTGAGGATTTGGTGATATCTTGATCTTGATATTGACATCGAGAGATATTAAAGGAGGAGTCTGAAAGTTCGGATAGGAGGGGGATAGTTCTGGGAGAGGACTCACCATTCTAGGAATTCTCTTCAACTGGAGAGCTCAGGCTGCTTAGAGTAGGGAAGACATTGTAGAGAAAATTCTCTAGTTTGCGTCGATTCTACATCTTCACTCCTCTCGACGAGGTTGTTATCCAGATTATTGGTCGGAATTCCATCATAGGGTTAGGGAAAAGTCGAATATACTTCGGAGAGAAGAGAAGATGTCGGATTTCTATGAAGAGATCAAAATTCCAGAGATGGATCTCTGGAGTACATTGTTTGAACGGGAGGATAAACCATTTCCGGATGATCAAGGTATTCCCTCTCTTATTCTCTTCCTCTTCCAGAATCTCAAAATTAAAGAGAAAACTGATACTATTTAGTCCTCTACACCTCTTCCATCTCCTCACACACATACCACTCCATCAAATCCCAAACCATCTCCTTTGGCCTTGGTCTCCGCAACCATTACTCCTTCAAGAAAGGCGATGTCCTAGCTCTTTTTTCAGAAAACAATATCGATACTCCTATTACTATGTGGGGAACGCATTATATAGGTGGGATAGTCAGTCCTGCGAATCCGGTATATACGAGACGGGAATTGACGCATCATTTGAGAGATTGTGGGGCGAAAATCATTGTCACGACGGGGGATTTGGTGAGGAGGGTGAGAGAATGCGTGGATGATATTGGGAAGGAAACTGAGAGGTATATTGAGATATTGGTGCAAGGTGGTGAGGTTCCTGAGGGGGAAAGAGGGATTCGGGATATCTTTATGGAGGGTGAGGAGAGGGGTGGGGGAAGGGTGGAAGTAGATCCAGAGAATGATTTGGCGTATTTGGTGTATAGTTCTGGAACGACGGGATTGCCAAAGGGGGTTATGTTGACTCACAGGAATGTGGTGGCGAATTTGATGCAAGTAGCTTCAAGGGAGGGCAAGTTGATGAGATGGGATCGTGATCGAATTTTGAGTGTTTTGCCGTTTTTTCACGCGTATGGTATGGTACTTCTCTTCTCTCCCATTTCGTTTCTGTCATTCGTTACACGCAATGAGCATATTGCTCGGCTAGTCTAACAGTCACAGGCCTTCAATGTCTCGTCCATCTTCCCTGCTATCTCGGAATCCCTACCATAGTCATGAAATCTTTCTCTCTTCCCACCTTCCTTTCTTTGATTCAAGAATTCAAAATCACATACACATACGTTGCACCACCGATAGTTTTACATCTAGCGAAAAGTCCAGTGGTGGAAGACTATGAGATTAGTAGCTTGAGAGGTATTGTAGCGGGTGCTGCACCGTTGAGTAGAGAGTTGATTCACATGGTGAAAGCGAGACTGGGAGTTGGAGTACGGCAAGCGTATGGGTTAAGTGAGACGAGTCCGGTGACTCATATACAGGTACGATGAGGTTTTGACACGAACAATCAAAGTTTGCTAACGCTGTGAAAAAGCGCGAATACGATAATGGTCTCGGGTCGGTGGGACCACCTTTGGCAAATCAAATTGTCAAATTCATGTCTGCGTCGAACACTGAAGTGCCTGTGGGTAAAGAGGGAGAAATTTGGATTTCGGGCCCCAATGTGTTTTTGGGTTATCATAATAATCCAGATGCTACCTCTGCGGCTTTGGTTACTTCTTCTCCCTCACTGAAATCAAAATATCCGTTCTTCAAAACGGGGGATGTAGGATTTCAAGATGCAAACGGAAATATGTATATAACAGATCGTGTCAAAGAGTTGATCAAGTACAAAGGATATCAGGTTGCGCCAGCGGAGTTGGAAGGGGTGTTAGTCGAACATGAGTGGGTGGAAGATTGTTGTGTTGTCGGAGTTTTTGATAAAGAACGGGAAACGGAAGTTCCGGTTGGATTTTTGGTTGGGAAGGGGAGCGTGAGAAAGGAAAATGGGAAAGTGTATGGAGAAAGAGAAGGGAGAGAGGTTGAGAAGTGGCTAGGGGGTAAAGTGGCGGATTATAAGAGATTAAGGGGGGGAGTGAGATGGGTGGAGAGTATTCCGAAAAGTGCGAGTGGGAAGATCTTGAGGAGAGTTTTTAAAGAACAGATTAAGAAGGAAAAAGAGCGTAAGATGGCGAAATTGTAGTTTTGATAACTCAAAGCGAGAGAAGCATTTCATTTCCGGAGAGGGCGAATGATATAGCGGAGATTCATTGTTTGATTATCATTGACACAGCAATGCCGAAAATTCTAATATGATTTGAGCCGTATTGATTCAAGATTTGAGATGATGTCAAATGCTAGAAACCACTATAGAAAGGAAGACTATGCAGACAATATGGAATCGTATTGAACCCGTAGTCAGCTCCCATGTTATACAATAGTGATAACCTTCCACAAAGGAGGCACATGTCGTCGCTCGGGTTGCGAATATATGATTGTAATGTTCAAACACCACTACACATGTCCATCGAGGATATATCGTTGCTTATACAATGGGCACGGATAGTCCCCCAAAAATAAGCGATGTAGATCGAAGAAAGTCGAAATCAAACTTAACTAAATGCATAGAAATTCGAACATTTGGTCAGCGCTGCGTGCCCCGTCAATAATTCAGGAATCAAGGAGTTTGAGATTGATCTCTCAAAATATCATTGGCGAGAGCTTGTGGCTCTGGGGTACAGTGGTTTAGTGGGGTTTCCCCACAGCGGCTCTGCTTTACAAGAGAGCCTGGACCTCTAAATTCCTGGAAGCTTCCCACCTACTATCTCTTGCACATTTCACGGGAAACAAGCTCTTTGCAACGAGAAACATCTATGATTCATATCAAACAAAAATCATATAAAAAATAATAATGACGGGTGGCACGCTTCCATAACTAAGACAGCGCCACATTTGTGCAGCGCGTGAGGGTGTGTCTTACATGTATAAATGCCGTATAACAGAAATGTGTTCAACTTGACATTCTTATGAAATTTTAGGAAAATGCTATTATCTATCAAGCAAAATGAGTGAGTTATGGAATTTTAAGAAAGTATTACATTTCAATAATATCTTCATGCAGATAACGTTCGTCTCCAAGCTCGAAGCGCGAGAATTGCAACCGAGCGCGATCATACTCCTAGCTGGAATCCTTTCCTGCGAGGTAGAAGATGGGCTGAAGGTGGCTACGATATGAATTGTCCTGGAAAGAGGGATGAGGAATCGGGAAGAGCAGAAAGTAATACGCATGCTTTACCTCCACGTCTGGAACCGGTTCATACACTTTCGGATACCGATATCGTTAAGCTTAGCCCTGGTATTGAGTCTCTATTCGCCACAACAACCTTGGATGAAAAGCCTATGCGTCCATTGTCCGCTGGAAACTTAGGTATTGAGGAGGCCACGGGCTCTATCCTCAGAGAGCATCCCCGGCATCGTTTTCCACGCCCCTCTTCTATCCCCGAAGACAAAACAAATTGTGAAATTGAAAAAGCAAACGAATGTGCTAGAAGACGCACATCACCATATGGAAATTTGATCAAACAAATAGTTGCAATTTTCTGCTCATCATGGTTATCGCTTCTCCTCCCATTTGTACCGGCAGGGTTCGCTTCAAATTATACTAATCTACCACCCATTGTCAATTTCATACTAAACTTCATTGCTATCTTCCCAAGTGCTTCTATTGTCGATATGGCCATGGATGAGGTGATGTTACGTTTTGGAAATACAGTGGGAGGATTGATCTACATGACTTTTGGAAACATCGTACAGCTGGTAACCTCGGTTCTTCTTCTCAAGACTCGACAAGTTGAGATTTTGAAAACTTCACTCATTGGGGGAATTCTGAGTGGAGTGTTATTGATCATGGGTGCAAGTTATTTCGCAGGTGGCATTGATCGACTAGAGCAGTCTTTCAATGTCAGCTCTGCAAGTTATGTCGCTAATTTCTTGACATTATCTGTGGCTAGCTTGATCATCCCAACAGCATCTCATGTTTTTGCCAATTCGACCCCGGAGAGTATTTCTGCGCAATCCAGGGGGACTTCGATTGTCCTTCTGTTTGTATATGGTGTCTATCTATTCTTTCAACTAAAAACACATTCATATGTCTTCAATCCAGAAGCTGGCTTGGTAATTCCAGATTTCTCACAGGCTTAATATGTGCTGACTTTGATTGAAGTACATCAAAAGGGCGCCAAAATCGACTGTCAAAGGCGTCACAGAGGACACGATTGATAGCAGCCAGTTTTCTCCTCCATCAGCCGTTTATCCCACCGGCGAAGATATAGAGCCTCATCTCTCTATGTCGGTGGGTGTCATCACCCTCATTATCGGAACAGTGGTTCTCGCCTTTAACACTACTTTCGCCGTCGACAGTATCGATGGTCTGACAGCACATCACGCCTCACCCAGTTTCGTTGGTTTAATACTTCTTCCCTTTCTCAATAATGATTTCATGCCCATCACTTGTGCACGGATGGATAAATTAGACTTGAGTATCATGGCATCGGCCGGTAAATCTCTTCAGACTTCACTACTAATCACGCCTCTGATTGTGATTATTGCGTGGATTTGGGGGATAGATGATATGGGTTTATTGTTCGATGGGTTCCAGGTGGCTTCGCTGTTCATGGCTGTATTGCTGTTTAATTTTCTTATTGCAGGAGGAAAGAGTAATTAGTGAGTACATTTGGACTTTTGTTTAGACCTTGCTAATCAGGTGTAGCTTACAAGGTGTATTGCTACTTTCAATCTATGTTATGATAGCCATATCAGCTTGGTATAATTGAGTGGTCTTTGAGTTTCAAATATAATGGGGTTTACATTTCAGGTCTATGGGTATTGTCATGCTCCTATAGAGAAATTTCCATGGTCACTTCACGCTTTCGAATACAAGCAAATATTTATAGCACGGGTGACATCGAATCTTTGTAAGGAAAGGGGATCAGAAACCCAAGCACAGAATCGTAGTTCTTCTACCATCAATTTTCGAGAAGAAAAACTACTGGTATGCGCGATACTCAATCACGTTACATCCCACTTCTTGAAAAGGTACAATTCGTGCGTAGATTCGTACGTAGGGTGGAATGGGCATTCGTATAGGAATCCCCCTTCGAACGAAGGAGGCAGTCAGAATAAAATATAAACTTTAGACCCTTACATATATTATATGTGTACACGCTTTACGAAGTCTGTCCAATAGAAGCACATGAAGTGTTCGTATGCAATCTCCTTGTGCCTTCATCCATGTGATGGGAAGCTTAATCTGCTATCTCTCGCCCATGGTGTTTTTCTTGGATAGAAATAGCTTGATGGGTCATTTCGATTGAATAGATATTACAGATAGATATCCATTTATCTCTATCCACCATGACGTCCCTATGATTATGATGTGGACGAGGAGCAACTGATTCCGATATGTAAAGTTGCAAGCCCAGAATTCGCATTGCAGTCAGCAAGTTGCATAGAATATTCTCGACCGAATAGCCTCTTTTGATTCGAACATTTCAAAATATACCCCCTTGATTTTCCCTAGAAGGAAATTGCCTCCGATATCCCCTGATAAAATAATGGATAGTGCCGTATCATCCCCAAAGATCATCCATCAGCTTCTCAACAGGGATCCCAACCTTTTTCGCAAAATCGGAAATATTAAACCAAATAGAGCAAGCGGAGATACCGCCGACCCCTACGGCGGATATTTCGAAGCGGTGCTGACATTGCATGAGTGTCATCCACCTACATATTTCATCTCCATAATTGATTGGCTGTTCTCAGGACGCGCACTCGTGTGCGGGCGGACTCCCGCCCGCACGCGGCCGCACTTTGCGATGTTTCGTCACGTATTGAGTAGTGTATGTGACTGCAAGTGCGGAAAGTTTTGGAAGATAACTCACTTAATTGATAGGGAGGTGAGGTATGTGGAAGAAAAGTATATAAAAGGCTGAGGATCTACTGAAGAAAGAACTTTTTATTTCACAGTAACACCGCTTCATTCAATATCATTCTCATCATAATCCCATTTCATCCCCTTTACTAGTATCACATTAGACGAGCCAAATTAGCTCTTTAAAGTTTACAGAATAATGTCTTCCACCATCAAGATCGACTCCAACCTACCCGCTGATACTGTATGGTTCAGTAAGTTTTCCTCTCTCCAACCCTCTCCAATTCCCAGCTAACAACCCCCAAAGTCACCGGCTGTTCATCCGGCATTGGAAAATCTCTCGCGGTAGAAATCTTCAACACAACAACCCATTCCATCATAGCCACAGCCCGCAATCCTTCATCCCTCTCCTATCTCCCTAGATCTCCACGAATTCTCGCCCTCGCCCTCGACGTAACTTCGCAATCATCCATTACTGAAGCTCTAGCTAGCGGTCTTTCCACTTTCAAACACATCGATATCCTCGTCAATAATGCCGGCTATGGCGTCTTGGGCGATACAGAATTCATCCCCGACGACACCGCTCGCAAAATACTTGAAACAAATTTCTGGGGCGCAGTCCGTTTAACCAATGAAGCTGTCAGAATTTTCAGAGAGGTGAATGGAGAGAAAGGTGGATTGATCATGCAGATTAGTACGATGGGTGGTGTGACGGCTTTTGCAGGTCAGGCTTATTATCATGCTAGGTATGATTTTTGTCCACACAAGATCTATGCATAACAAATATCTAACCAGAACCAGTAAATTCGCACTCGAAGGCTTCACTGAGTCTCTCTACCACGAAATCCCCAAATTCTGGAATATACGTTTTCTAATTATCGAACCGGGTGGAGTGAGAACTAACTACGGTACCTCGTCCCTTGTCAAGATTCCCGCACATCCAGTTTACGCGGATCCTTCTTTCGGTACGCGTCAACTGGAAGCGTTTTTGGATAATCCTTCTTTTGGGGATTACATGGCGGACCCGGACAGAGTTGCACAGATCCTCCTCGAAGCGACGGAGTTGGAGAGAAAGGGAAAGATGGGATTGAGGTTGCCAGTGGGTCCCGATAGTTGGAGTTTTATCAAGAGGAAACATGAGGGGGAGTTGGAGGGATTGGAGAAAGTGAAGGAGTTGAGCTGGTCGACTGGGAATGAGAGTATTTTGAAGCTTACGGGGTTTTTGTCGGAGTAGAGAGAGCTTTAAAGAGGCAGGGGGAGTAGTTGGATTTTGTAGTAGACTTGTGTACTTGATGTGGAGGTAGTTTAAGGAAAGCAAGTAGTCGTAGCCGTATTTTATTGGAGTAGTTGACACGTTATCACGCTATTAGCCTGTAGATACTTCTATTCCTGACTCTTCTGTGAAGCAAAACTCGTACCAAGTGAAAATGTTGCAACAGACGAGAACCCTTGAGCGATATATTCCTGCTCTGCAACACACCCAGCCTTTCTTTCTATGGTACGTCGTAATGACAACTCATCTTCCTTTGCTCAGAGACACTCTTAGAGACTAGTGCGGATATACCTGTGCAGAATAGGTCTAGACCTCCAAGGACTACTTCTACCAGCTGCGGCCGTGATGATACCATCAAGATGAGACCTTGCTCACGCCCTTGATTTTAGTGAAGTATTTCATGCAGGTAAATAAAAGTCCATCATTTAGAGTAACAGAGAAATATTGAACACTTCCATATCAACGTAAGAGTTTGTGCGCTCCAACCTTGAAGTCCTTAAGGAAACCATTATCATAGAACTTTATACTTCTATTCCCATGTTCCATATGCAATAATGAATTGCATCCCAAAAAAATGATGATCGAACCTTTCAGGATATGCCATCCACCGTCCATATATATGCAACCATACAAACTCCTTTTGACCCTACCCCATCCTATCCCATTCAATATTCCATCAGCTTTCCCCATTGTCCCATCTATGCTAACAAACCCACAACCCCATAAGCCACCCAACTTATTGCCAAAAACACTTGGTTTGCTCTAATCTCATTCGTCAACCCAATTGCATCGTTGAAATCTCCGGTACCTGGAATTGGCATTTTTGCTTTGCCCTTCCAGAAATCTCCTACATATTCTCTTGTGACGAGTAAAACCGCGAGATTGACTGCCGAGAGGGCAAAGATCGTGCTACTGCTGTAGCGAGAGAGAAGAAAAGGAGTGGCGGTTAGAAAGCTTAGGAGGAGCTATCAGGGAGAGTCAGTTGTTGAAATGAGGGGTACATGGGTGTAAGAGGGTGAGAGATGAAGACTTACAGCTCCAGCGCTAGCAGCTTGTGTGGTACGCGTCTTGAACAATTGCTCCTCGGCGATATTTGAATATTTTGCAGCCTTTACAGCTTTGTCTTCGTATGAGAGGAGCTTTGGGATTGCAATTGAGGACAGGTAGAGATTGTATCCTGTAAAGGCAATTTGACCAGTGCCAATGAGACCGAGTATTGCGGCGAATAAACCCATTGCGATTGTGATTTATTTTTCTATTTGTGCTAGAGTTGAGGCTTCAAGTATTTGCACACAATTGAGATTATAAAGAGAAGAAGAGAAAGTTCGTTTGTTGTGAGTTGAGGTGCGATGAGAATACATGAATACGAACATGCCCAGTTTAAAGTAATGATGTCATATTTGACACGGGATCAGACACCTTCTTAACCCGCTCTCATGATGATATGAATTATTGTCCGTTTGAAATGAAAATGGAAATGCATGCTGACTCGGTGCTTACGTCGTCGTCGTCCGTATTTTTATATCTTCAAAGCAAAAATGGTCCACTTCTTCAGAATGATTGACACTGACTGCACTGCGATGATCGATTTGTCATCTGACGAAATCGATTTGTCATCTGACGAAATATTGTGATGACCACAAAGAACCCAGCATCAAATTTTGGATTTGACCTAGCATTGCCCAGTCAAAAGCTTGACAATCCTGAGTAATGATTCAATATGAATTCTCCTAATTATGTGCTACATATTGATAGTTCAAAGTTCTATACTCGAGTTGAGATTTGGAAATTCTACTCAGTGCTCATCATATTTAGCCGCTGACTTCTCTTGTTCTCCTCCCTTTTATTATGATATATCGTGTTTCTAGTTTCATTAAGCTCGGGATTGAAGCGATGTTCATTAATCGAATCTTCAAAGCCTTTTGAACTTTTAAGATCGTTCAGGTCTTGAACAGGAATGGCAGGTGAGACATTGCAGACTGGAAGACTTGCAAATTACGAAAAGGGAAGGATCAAAATACTAGTAGTGAATTTAGATTGGGACTTTTCCGAAATTCAAAAAGAGTTAGGAGTTATAATTATGATAGCAGATCGCTTTTGTATCATTCAATCTTACGGAGTACAACACAGCATTTTCATATCTTAGGAAGAATGGATTGTATTCAGGATCCCCAGTATCTGCTGTATCAAGAGAGCGTACACTCCGCATTTCAGGAAATCTACAAATGCCTTAGAATCGATAATACCGATGCTGATTTGTTAGCGGAAGAGCTTGAAATGTTTGTGAGAATGGGTGGGTTTTGGGACAAATCTCAATGAAAGGGGCTAATGAATCTCAGTACACTCGCACCGAAAGCAAAGAGGTTACGCCGACGATTTCTCTAATTGTCCATTGATTTTCAATGACCAATTCGACACCGAAACAATCGAAGGTGCTCAGACTCCGTCGTCGAGATCCTATCCATCTACATCTCTTACCGTTTATCCTTCATCATCATTTCCACTGTGTCCCAAAACTTTCACTCCATTCCCAAGACTGCCGCCCGAGTTGCGGCAAAAGATCTGGCGTCTATGTGCTCCTGAACATGGGCGTGTCATAGAGCTGAACATGTCGGAAGATTCAATCTTTCCCACGAAACACCCTGCGCATGCTGTCTTTCATGTAAATCGAGAAAGTAGAAAGGAACTCCTATCTGTTATGGGATACGAAACTTTGATATTGAAAAATAATCGTCACTTGAGGATTAAAGCATGGAGTAGGGATGCCGTTATCAATTTTACACATGAGGTTGTTTTCCTCAACCCCCCAATGTCAGAAACTATTGAGCGCTACTCCGACCTCGAAGGTAACATACCAAGAATGTTGTTGGCGCTTAAAAAAGCAATGAAGCCAGGCCAATTAGAAAGAATCAAAACACTGGCGATATCCGTCAAGAGCCTTCGGGAGTTTGAGGTAAAGGTGGCTTATCGTCTACCTGCATTTCGAGGGTTGGAAACTCTCATCTGTGTTTTGGAAAATGAAGATGGGGATGGAAAGATGGAAATAGTTCTCTCGAAAATAAACGGACACACAAGTTTGTATGATGTACCTCTGTGGAGAATGTCATCTGTTCTACAACAAATTGCGAAAACCTGTTTTCGTCTTACTCAAAGAGGCAGTTACACAAGTTGGAACCCGCCAGAGCTGGTAATGTGTTTGAAACACACTCGTGATTGGAATCAAGAGAGATTTATTCCGGAATTTGCCTGGAAAAAGGTGCCATTGAAAGAAGATCCGTGGAAACATCATCATTAAACTCTACATACTTTCATACTTGATAGTTTTCATGGAGAGGCAATGGTATTCAATCGAATTACAGGATGGAGAGATCTTTATCTCAAATCAGCGTAGTCCCCGCCAGACCAAAGGAAAGGTCTTTACATAAATTGTGTAGTTCGAGATTGATATGAAAGTTACGTACAGTTTGATAGCGTATTGAAGAGGAATCACGGGGAAAGAGTTGAACAGAACGTATCGAAGCCTAACAGTCGTAGACGGAAGTACATAGCATACATTTGTTAAGACAAATAATTAGTAGTCATTAAAGATTACTTCAAAAAGAGAAGACTTGGTATCTAATTGAGTTTGGTTGCAAAAATTAGTTCCAGCTCTCACACAATACTTCGCGTTATCTTCATTTGGGCTTTCGCCTAAGAACCCTTCAAAACCAGCCGACCAAGATGTGCAAAGAAACGTATGGGTAAACAGTATATCACGAATATCCCTCTGGTAGAGAATAATACCACATCTCGTAACAGAAGCAAAAGCCAAGGCATTGTAATGCGTCATATTCAAGACAATCTCTATCGTCTCCCAATCTCCCAATAACTTCTTCTCGAAACTCCAGATTTCTTCCGAGGAGGCCAACGATATGGGATCCGAAAATTAACGAGACTTACATCAGCAAAACCCTCATATCTATCTACAGGCCCGGGGGACGATATATATTTGATTACTATAAAATATAATAACATGTAGAACAAACGACTTAACCGTACCCCCTCTCCCTCCCTCGCCAAGCTGCCATCTCTATTTCAACACTCCTACCCTATCCTGTACAATCGCCAAATCCGTGTTCGTGTCACCCATTTACATAATGCTACACCAATAGGGAGAGACATGGAGATCTGCAACAAAAAGACACCCAGGAAATTTCCCGGGAAATTCCCATCCAATCCCAGGAGTGCGGGATAGATTCTTAATTGTCTACCTGGTGTGTCTTACCCGGAGGGATTTAGTAGGTGTATTGATATTGAGATGTTGAGATTTAGAAGTGCTTTATGCTGGATTAGATGGGATTTAGTGGAATATCTGGTCCCGAAACATCAAAGAAGAAGAATCATGGTATAAATCATCTAAATCCAACCAGAAAGTTTTAATTCCTCTACATCGTCACCTCCCCCCTCAAGATAAAAATACATTCTCTCCTAATACCGCGATGGAATCCTACACAAATCATCAATTACACTACGAAACACACCCAATTCTATTTTTCCCATTTCCTGTCACCCATCATTCTCTCACAACCTATTATTAATATTTCACCTACTCAACATAGCCGGCATATCCACGTAACACAGTTTCAAAATGTTTCTCCTCAGTCCTCTTCTCTGCTTACTTGGTGGGTTACACACACCTTGTCTCGCAACAACAGATACACCAATACTAATAGTGACGTAAGAAAATGCATACCTAGCTATTTTTATCTGGGTATAGAAATAGCAGTACCAGCAAATAAACCTTCTTGCGTAGTTGGATATGTAGAAAGATTAGTTTCTCTGAATGTGGTGGATATTTCTGGTCTTTGAATTGAATCGCATCGCATGTCATTCTTACATCACATTACTGAATCATGGCATTGGACTGTCGAGGATTGGATAGCCTTTCGAACTATTTACAAACTCAGACACAGCTGCTAAAGCGTCGGATATCGATGTTGTGGCGGCTTCTTTAAATACCTACCTGGAAATTCTCGATGCTCTATTCATCGTTGCGCATGTAGTTGTATTACCTAGTCTAGCATGAACCACAATATCTCTTCAATTCTAAGGTAAATCATACAAAGTATTAACAAAACCAGATAACTGGCTCAGATGAGTTAGCCCTGCTAGCTATTACATATGAAATGTATTGTCGCTTAGTAAAGCTCTCTTCCTCCTATTCATTTCGAGCCAATCACTTCATGAATACAGAATAACAAGCAGTAAAGACCTCACTAATATCAGCAGACACCATTGTGCGATATTATGCTCATATCTTTCAGTTTTCTAGATACTATTATTACCCCCCAGAGATACATATATACATCATACTACAAAGGTGTAATTTACAACCAAGTCAAAAGCCAACTTTCGTACTTGTGTTTATATTCATAAATTATATAGGTAGTTCAAATACATTCTCAAATACTATTCAAATAGTCGCTATTAGACCATCCTAGTCCAAGGAGCAATCTTAATATCAATCAGATATCCTCACGAGCATCCTCGTCACAGTTGACCCCATCCATCATTTGTGAAAATTGAAAACGTAAAAGAAGATGTGTATAATTTCTACTCAACAGAATCACCAGAAGTGAAATACAAGCAAATCCTCCAATTAACCCCCCATTCACTTAATCCCTCAGTAGCAATCAGCATCTCAATAGCACATCCAACAGCTCTTAACACATCCTCCTGTTCTCCCACTATATCGTACGATTGAGATCTCGTAGAAATGTAACTTTCAATCGTAGAACGTTTGTTTATCTACCTCCGCTAAGACTCCTTTTCGACAGGTTATACCTATCCGTTCGTCACTTCGACTCAGGGTATACCTACACATGATATGTTCTCCTCCTGGTCAATACCCTCTCCACATTCCTCAGGATTCTCAGAAAGAAGAATACCGTGGGATAGTAGTGCACAATTTATATAACCACTCAATCTAGGTGCTAAACTTAATAGACTCAACACCACCTAGTATTCAAGTCAGGAGAGAGTTTAAAGATCGAAAAATGATATCCATTCCATCTTCCATCACAGTCATTTGATCCGAAGCCCAAGTGAAACCCATTCTCAGAGCCATCTGAGATCGTCTAAGTAGCAAGCACTCATAACCCATCACTATTCAATCTCCATTCCAAGCTCTGCAAGCTTCAACCCCATCTTAAAACAATACACCTTGCTTGTAACCAACAAACTACCACGAAACTTTTTCTCTTCCCGTTCCTTAAAGAAACGAAAGAAAAAAACACACCTAAAGATACATTCAAATAAGATCTCAGCACCAGCCCAAAAGTCCAACATTTCCCGCCAAACAACCAACCAGCAAACCCAACCAAAATCCCTCCCTAAGCCCCCTACCCTTATATCTCCTCCCTCCTTCCCCAGAATTCGGCACTCATACACCTAGTACCTCATCCCAACCGCCTCAACCATCCCGTCCCGTCACACAACTACCGAGCCACCAAACAAATAGACAAGGATACCGGTACCGGTACATCTATACATGTTCCCCGCACGATCCTCCTCTGACTTCTCAGAACCAAACAGTACCGAATTCATAATTTCGGTTTTCTCATATCGATTCTTGGCTCGGGGATTACATATACATACACATACATGTACAAATATATTTTACAATTATTGCGTAATGATGATGAAGATGAGGATCAGCTAATTAGCTATTTTCCATACATAGATACATACATACGAAAATAATGCCTCATTTCCACTTCACTCATGATTAACGTCTTACTAACTATGCCAATCCATCCATCAATCAATCTGTCAATCTGTCTCACACCCCAACCCTTTCCCCAGAAAACATCAAACAAGCGCCAAGACGCGGATAGATCTCGAGTTCAATTCAGTTCCCTGCATACATATCCACATCCACATCCTCCTGCTTATGTATGCTGATCAATCGTATCCAGCCATGACTTAGTCACACAACATACAAGTAAGCCATCCAACTCACCGATCAATTCCCACTGCACATCTCATCCACATTTCCAATCTTAGCAAACCGTGACAAATGCATAACATTCCCCTTGGCCAAATCTCCAGATATGCATGCATGAGGCGTGTACGTGTGTATGTAGATATTCCGCGGCAGCGGCAGCGGCAGCGACACGGGATGACTATTCGAATACACGCCATCCCCCCAACTATCACGTAATTCCGCAAGGTAAGGCGTCAACGACTCAAAAGCCTCTTTCTTAATCTTCACACAAGCAAGAATTGATCCATCTATTTCCAGACTGGCGATGTCGACATCAATGCATTAGCGTATGTCCGAGAGACATGGTATGTAGTACCAACTAGTAATGAAGATCTTATAATTTATTTTGGTTCTGCAGGAGATGAAGATTCATGATTAACAAACGCACATTACGTAAAATCATAGGAGTTCCGAGCGAACGAACGAGCCTCACAGCATCATGTGTGCAGAGACACGGAGATTTTATCGCGGATGATGAATTATGGAAACTGATGTAATATGTATCATCTAAATATGGACGGACAGCTTTGGAGATTATTCTCGCCGGCGGGAAGACTCGGTGATAATTTACATCAAGATGGAACTCAATAACATGACTTGGCGAATCCATCCCGGCAATGCAAATTTGATTCGCCTTGTAAGTTGTCAGTCCTTAAGCCCGGCTGAAGTTTGACCAACAACTTACGTTTGTTGGCTGAGAAAGTTGAAGGCAGAGTTCGAAGAAGATGATGTGGATCGGACATGTTACTATGGGAGAAGCAGCAGCTGAGTTCTAAGTCAATCGTCAGTCCGTAAGCTGGCTGGAAAGGCTTGGTCTATTGATAGATGGGTCAGTACTTATATCGAGCCAATCTTCATCTTTTTTCTTCTCATCATCTTCAATCAACAGCTTTCATCATCACACTACAATCTTCGAGCTTGAACAAACATACATTTCACTTGACTTCAGCAACATCAAACAAACACTTCTCTGCCTTCAACGCATTTACAAACATCATCGCCGAGATGCAACTCATTAATATCATCATTCTATCTCTCGGCCTCAGTGCCTCCGCCATGCCCGGTTTGTTCCATCCATTCTCTCCTTGGAATTGACATCTGACTAACAAATCTAGTTCCTGGCGATGACCACTCCGTCTCGCACAATGGCGGAAACAAGGGTGACAAGAACGATAACTATGGCGATCATGGCAACAATGGAAATCATGGCCATGACAACGACCGTGGCAATAACGGAAATCATGATAACAATGGAGGCAACAAAGGTTATGGCGGAGTATCTCACTCATACAGAGATGACAAGCACGACAATTATGGATGGAATAAGGGCTCTGGTGGAGACAACAAAGGTTATGGCGGAGACTATAACAACGGTGGCAAGAACGACGATTACGGCAATTCTCATGGATATGGTGGACTTTCCAGCTCATATGGAGATGACAAGAACGACAACCATGGATATGGTGGAGGCTCCATTCACAGAAGAGGCGGCAGAGATGACAAGCATGGCAAAGGCAACAAACATGATGATGACAGGCACGACAATGACAAACACGGTGGCGGAAAGCATGACAATGATGGACATGACGACCACAAGCACGGTAGTGGAAAACGTGATAACGGCAAGCATGGTAGCGGGAAGCATGATAACGACAAGCACGACAATGACAGACACGGTGGCGGAAAGCATGACAACGATGGACATGACGATCACAAGCACGGTAGTGGAAAACGCGACAACGACAAATACGACAACGACAAATACGACAATGACAAATACAACAACGACAAATATGGCAGCGGGAAGCATGATAACGACAAGCACGACAATGGCAAACACGGCAGCGGAAAACATGACAATGATGGACATGACGATTACAAGCACGGTAGTGGAAAACGCAATAACGACAAGCACAACGACAACAAGCACGACGACAACAAGCACGACGACAACAACAACAACTACGGATGGAACAAAGGCAACAGCGAATATTCCTCTTCCTCCTGGTAAAAGTTCCACACCCCAATTGCGCATACCTCCCGGCCTAACAAAACGACACAAAAAGACCGAAGAGAGAGAGAGAGAGGGAGGGAGAGAGAGAGAGAGACAGGATAGAAAGAAGGTGCAGCTTCGCATATCCACCCATCTACCCATCTCTCTACACACATGAAGAGAAGGAAATGTTCCCAACCCATTTGAATTATTTTTGATTTCTGTTTCCCGCTACTATCGCAACTATCGTATACAGTCCTTTTCTCATTGCAGTTCATTTCAATTCATTTCAGAAAAAAGAAAAGAAAAAAGAAAAAGAGAAATCCCTTTCTCCACTCCATCTTGGGATTTGAAATTCAGACAGTCCTTATCATACCTACCTACTTTTAGACGCAAGCAAAATAAGAATTCACTTTTCTCGAGATTGGTTCAGAGTGCATACAATACAATTACAATCACAATATGAAAACATGTTTGTGAAAACCGTGAGTGATGACGTGAAAAGTTCTTCTTCTTTGGAAGCGAAAAGGGGGTTTGATCAGAAACAAGAAGGGGCACTGACGTGAGTAGAAAATCTTCTCGGTTTCTGTGAGTCATCTTGAAGATAAAACCTGTCTTGATTCAATATTTCTGCAAGAGTTTAGGCGAGGGGATAGGGATGTAGATAGACTGGATATCTTAAGGAGTATATGCTACCACTTATTCAAAGTAAAATGATAGATCTTAGTGAAATGAAAGATTTGCAAGAGCAATAGAAATATGTTCCGTTTCAATCTGCACTAGCAGGAAGACGCTGCGCTGTGTATGAGCCATCCCAGATTGAGATGTCTAAGAGGTTGAAAAAAGGATACTTTTTATTTCGTCTAATCATAAGTTTTTGGATGTGAATTCTCATCCAGGTATGCGTCCAGGTATCATATCAGCTCTCAGTTCCTTCCCCTAACTCTCATAATTCATCTTTCTATCCCCAATCACCCCCCACATCTCCTCCACAATATCCCTTTGCCCACTAGGCGCTCCTCTGATCGCCATATATTTCCTCCCATCAACCTCACAATTCCATTCCCCAGGATTACCACCAACCATAATGCCTCCCGCTTCAACCAAAATACACCACCCAGCCGCAACATCCCAAGCCCAACAACCTCCCTCCCAAAAAACATCTTGTTGTCCACTAGCCACATGTACCAGATTTAAAGCTGCGCTCCCCAACCCCCGCAGTGAATGTACCATCGCGCCTCCATCTTCTTTTGCGGCAGATAACTTTTTGAAGACGTCGCATTTGAGATCGAAATTGTGCCCTGAGCGATCTGAGCCCCATTCTGCGGTTACGAGACAGGTACTCAAATCTTTCAACGGTTCGGGCTCTTTTTTGAGCGGCAGGCTGAACTTCTCCCCATCTTTACGAGTTACGAATGAACCGTGACCTTTGATTCCTGTGAATAGGTCGCCAGTGAAGGGATTATACACAACTCCGACACTGGGAACTTTGTCGACGACGAAGCCAAGAGAGATACAGAATGCGGGGTATGCATGGACGAAGTTTGTTGTGCCATCAATGGGATCGCAGATGAAGGTTGGGGCGGAAGTGAGTTTAGTTTCTCCTTTGACGAATGTCTCTTCGCCAATGAAGGAATAGGTTGGGTAGGCGGCGGTAAGGCGGGTGGAGACCATTGCTTCGACTGCTTTGTCGGTTTCGGTTACCAGGTCGGCGGCTGTAAAGGGAGAGGTTAGAGACGATGATGCAGAAGCAATTGATAAGTGATGAAAGGGTATAATTGTTATTTACTTACTGTTCATCTTGGTCCCAGAGCTCAAGTATGAAGGGGTTGCGGACATGATCATACGACCTGCTTCATGAGCAATGTCGATCAAGAGATCGTGGATTTCTTGGAGGTTGACTGCGGCCATCTTGGAGATCTGCTAAAAGAATGTAGAATCGATGTTTGATTAGGAGTTAAAAAGAGTAAGTTAAGGTAAATAATATTCAAAAGGAGACGCTACTTGGATGTAATGTAAGGGGTTCAGAGTTGGACAAATGAGCTCCAAAGTGGGGTTAGAGGGGTTGTTCGGAAGCTATCTTATCAGCACGTGGGAAGCTCTTGGAGCAGGAACTGGTGGGATCAAGTCAGGGAAGATTCCATATTTCCTTTGTCGATAACCCGCGCGGCACAAAGAAGACAAGAGACAGGCTTGGCTGGAGTTGTTAGTGGCTTCCACTGACTTAGATGTGATGATACAGCACCGCGGCCCGTTCAAAATGGGGGGCAGGAAATGTGTCTGCCAACGAAGGTTCAAAAAAGGTATATGTATATTAGTCCATGAGGTCTTTCATTCATTGAGAACGGACCTAACAATACCTAATCTAAAAATGCCAGGATTATACACAGCTTCAGTACAGTCAAAGCACCCAAGAATGTTTTCCGGTTCTCTGGTCTCAGATCTTCATTGCTCAATAGTGTAGAAGAAATCGTAGGCAGAATTTGAAATAGGATGTGCATTCGTAAAGTTCTCTCGCTCCATATAAATACAGCCTGCCCTGGAGTATCGCAAAATCCATTCACCCATTATACCGTCTCGCCATTCAGAAATCATAACCTCCATCCGTTACCATCTTACATGTTCTCTCTAAACATTGACCTTCTCTCCGAATGATTATCATCATGCGCCTTATTTTTTGTGTCCATTGGTCTTGGACTAACACCCCTCAATTCGGATGGATCGTCGAAAGGATTGTTCGCTGATTGTATTCCCATCTCCTCATCATAACGTCTATCGAGCCCAGCTTTTGATCCTCCAACGTATGGTTCCGGTTCGCGACTCAAGCTTCTGCCACGAGGAGGACTTGAGAATCCAGGGCCCGTACCCGACGTTCCCGCAGCTCCCGAATGACCACCATGTAAGCCGAGCTCTTGTTCCTCGAAATATCCTCCAGGTCCATATGCATCAGCTTCTGTTCCGACTCGGGCATCCCAAGCATCATCAGGGTCCAGTGGACCGAAACCTCGATTTGCTGCACGACCGCGTACGTTGCTGCTCAAAGGTTCCTCATACGCTCCTCCGGCTGATCGATTATTGCGATTCTTCAATCCATTAACTTTATCCTTCACCCATCCGACCACTCCACCTTGCCCCGACCCCGATCCTCCATATCGATCGGATCCGCCTTTGAATGGGTTGTAAGATGATAAGGATGGTTGTGGTAAGCCTAATCGTCGTGCGCGCAAATGTGTGTAAACAATCCAAGCCACCCCTCCGATGACAGCGACGATCAGAACTATGATGAAAAAGGCACCTACACCCGAAAAGTGTGCCATTATTGAAGGATTGAATGATTGACCATGTAAAGTAGGTTTATCGTTGGTGGGTGATTGAGATGGCTGTTAATGAATTATGGTGGAAAGGCAGAGAAGGTAGGTAGAGAAGGTAGGTAGAGAAGGTAGGTAGGTAGATAGGTCGGTAATCAGGCCAACAAACACTTGGTGAGGCAGTGTTTCGTCAGTGCCAAAGTGATGATAAGGTCGAGAAGCACCCAATCTTTTTTTATCCAAACAAGCTTTTCAACAAGGAAGAAGCCTGTGAGTGTCAAACTTAAGTGTAACAACAAGAGAACTTTTGAAGATTTGAATCCAAGTTGGAAGTGAAGAGCATGTTGTGGATTCTGTGATTTGATTGGTGTAGATAATGTGAGGAAGGCCGTTAGACTTTTTGGATTCACAATCAAAACTCCAAACCACGTTTGGGGGGGCACAGTGACAGCTGAAGTGATTCATCAATCGCGGCTGGGGGGTTCAGATCACGTGATAATATGCATTGATGGTTAATGTATTGTGACGTATATTTGGAGTGAATATCGGGTACCTGGTGAGGTAAGCAGAGTGGAGCGGGTAGAGTGAAGGGTGTGAAGCGTGAAGGAAAGAGAAAAGACAGAAATGAGAAAATCACTCTTTTCTTGTCAGATCATCCGAATTTTACCCCACCCGAGTAATTAATTTAGCTACCAAATAGCAATCAATGCATGTATCATGTATCATGTATTATCTATCATCCACCATCCACCATCCATCCGCCATCCACCCACCATCCACCATCCATCCATTCATCAATGGAACACAGTGCCTGTGCTGACTGAGGGGAGGGGAGGGGAGGGGAGAAAGAAGTCGATAATATTTCACAATTCTTAAATCGATGTAGGCTGATAAAGGCAGGCACCATATGACAGATCTTGATGTTATATATAAAAGTAATCATTCAGTAGAGTAAGTAGGTATCATCAAGAGACGAGGCAGTCGAAGCAGTCAAAGCAGTCGAAGCAGACGAGTTAGACTACTACTTCTTTTTTATATTAACTCGGATATATCACACTATGCCTTGGCTACAACCAGTAAGGAATCCCGATGCTACACTACAATACTGACGAGTCCTTTCCACCTCTACTGCCTCTCTTCCGAAGCTCGTTGCTTGCGTGTATCCACCCACAATGAGACATCAGCTATGAATCTTGAATCTTGAATCTTCATTATTCAATCTTGTTTCCTTGATTAGAAATGTCATTCCACTTTCTCACACATTCCCCCCGAAACCTTCACAATCTCACAATCTCACAATCTCAAAGATCAGATAAGACGGATCTACACGTACGAAGTGGAAAAAGTACGGATCCCATGTAAACTTTTAGTCGGCATAATGTGATATTTGATGCATTGCTGCAGATGATTTCCAAGCTTTTCCAGGGATTCAATTTTTTGCCTGTAACTTTTGCTGCATATCAATCAATCAAATTGCGAAATTAAACATCAGATTAAAAAAAAAAGAAAATACGTGTGAGAGTTTAGAAAGGTCGAAAAGGCGCTCGCTATCATTATCATCACCTACGAGGCTCTACATACCTGTTATCGTAGATTATTTCCATCACATTGAAGAAAGGTCCATCATTTTCCTATTTCCACCCATCTATCACTTCACTTGAGAATCGAGGGGCACACACATCACCCTTTCACGAATCACCATTACCGCCTCTTCCGCAAGGAATAACTTTCCCCTATCAAAATTACCCGTCATCGAGTACCTAGTCCTCTTACCAGTATCCCACTCATCAACTAATTCCCGCCAACTAAGCTTCCTTCCTAGCTTCAAATTCTTCGCGAAAAAGGGCTCCCCCTTCATATGTCTCAGTGGGGCCTGACAACGTGCAATAATGCCTCCTAGCTGCATATGACATTCCGCCTACCTCACGTTCCCGCAACAGGCGGCAGAAGTAGAGGATCGGGTGACTCTGACTGTAATATAGAAGGCTCGGGTGTCCCCCTTGATTTTCTTCAGCCCCCTCAGTCAAATCTTACCGGTAGGCAACTACTACCAGCTGAATCACTTCTTGCGAACAATCAGAATTTGAATCACTATCGCTCTCATTCAACGAGGCACAACAAGGACGACGACGACGACGACGAAGAGGAAGAACTTTATCCTGAATCTAACTCTAACCTTCTTAGACGACATACACGAGATTCCGCAGAGACGGAAGACGATGCCCCGCGGCACAACCTAGCAGATGAGAATATAAACCTGCCAAACATCTTTCAAAAAATACGTAGACTCATGTCCAAGACACCCCTCTTATTACGTTCCGCGCCCGGCTTCGGCACAGGATCATATGGAGCGGCTCCGGTGGGCGCATCGTCAGAGAACAGCGAGGAGGAAGAAGAGATTCACACGAGAAGGGAGAAGAGGAAAAAGAGTTCATCGGCCCTTAGGAATTTGAGGAATTCTAGCAGTGCTGCAACATTCAAATCAACCAAATCAAATTCGCGCCCGTCCTCATCTGCGAATGCTGGTTCGACTTCGCGAACGAGAAACCGTACAGGAAGCAACACACAAAATGATGGGTCAGAAGAAACGGAGCTTGTGGCTTCCCCAATAAAGATTCGCAATGCAGATTCGGATTCTATTTCAACAGAGGAAGATACGGAGGAAGCGCTGCTAGATGAAGACGAAGATGACGAGGAATATTCAATCGATGATGAAAATCCACCAGACAATTCTCCCTATGCCCAAGTTCGCGCTTCGGTATCTGCCATCGATAATATAACTCTATCGATCAACACCCCTCGGATGTGGGCACTGTCTATGCTTTTTGCTATACTTGGTTCTTCAACAAATCTTTTCTTCTCTTTACGATATCCTAGCGTTTCTATTACACCAGTTATCGCCCTTCTACTTGTACACCCGCTTGGATTAATGTGGGATGGGCTTCTCAAACGACGAGACGACCCTGAAGAAGAATTTGTGGATGGGCATCGAACTGCAACTCCAGAATGTAATGACTCCAGTGGGAAGCCCATTACTGGCTTCAGACGATTAAGATTATGGTTAGCACAAGGGAAATGGAATGAAAAGGAGCACAGCTGCGTCTACATCAGCAGTAACGTTTCTTTCGGCTTTGCATTTGCAACAGATGTCATTGTTGAACAAACACACTTTTACAATCAGAAAGTCAGTATCATGTATCAGCTGCTCCTCATTCTTTCCACACAGATCTTGGGATATGCTTTTGCAGGCCTCACAAGACGTTTCTTGGTTCGACCTGGCGGTATGTTGTGGCCTGGAACTTTAATGTCTGCAGCCATGTTCACAACATTACATAAGGAGGAGAACACAATAGCTAATGGTTGGAAAATCACTCGATGGAAGTTCTTTTTCGTCGTTTGGTTTGGTTCCTTCATGTTTTACTTCTTGCCTGGTTTGTTGATGCCAGCATTGAGTTACTTCAGTGTCATAACTTGGTTTGCACCAAAGAATGTCATCGTTGCAAATCTGTTTGGTGTGGCTTCGGGACTTGGCCTTTTCCCCGTAACCTTCGATTGGGCTCAGATTGCATATATTGGATCACCACTACTAACTCCATTCTGGGCTGCGATGAATGTTGTTGGAGGTCTCGTCATTGTGATGTGGATTCTTGCGCCCATTGCCTACTACAAAAATATCTTCTTCTCCTCTTATATGCCAATTCTATCCTCTTCCGTTTTCGATAATACTGGAAAGATATACGATGTAAGCAAAATCTTGACATCGGATTTCCTCTTCAATAAGGAAGCATACGAGAGCTATAGTCGTGTGTTCTTACCCATAACTTATGTTCTGAGCTACGGTCTTCAGTTCGCTGCTCTTGCCTCGCTATTAACACATACAACATGTTGGCATGGTCGAGATATTTGGAAACAATGGAAAAGATCCTTAAAGGAGGTTGAAGGGGAAACGAAACCTGCCTATGATCCTGTACCTGCATCGAATGGAAACGGGCATAGAAGAGGAGCCTCAGCCAACAGCCACAGGCTGAATCTTGAAAGAACTCCATCGTACATGAATGATATTATTAGTCAGGAAGATGTGCACAACAGGCTTATGAGAAGGTACAAAGATGCACCAATGACTTGGTATCTGATTACATTCGTATCTATGCTTGCAGTCGGGATGTTTGTTGTCGAATAGTAAGTACTCGCATATTCTTGTGTCAAGTATATTATTGTATTAACCCGTGTGGTAGTTATCCCGTGCATCTACCGTGGTACGGCTTACTCCTCGCATTGGGGATCTGCACTGTCCTTTTTATTCCAATAGGAATCGTCATGGCCATTACGAATCAACATAGCAGTATTTATCTCATTTGCCAATTGGTTTGTGGTGCAGTCTTCCCTGGCCGTCCCGTTGCAAATATGGTATTCGTCACCTATGGTTATATCTCCTCTTCTCAAGGAATAAAGTTCTCGTCCGATTTGAAGCTTGGACATTACATGAAAATCCCGCCCCGTATTTTATTTTCCGTTCAAATGGCAGCCACAATTGTTTCTTCCATGACGCAAATTGGCGTTCTCAATTGGATGTTTGCCAATGTTCCAGGAATCTGTACTCCTCAGGCTATCAACGGTTTCGTTTGTCCCCTCGCCCGTGTACACTTTAATGGAAGTATTCTTTGGGGAGTCGTAGGACCTGGTCAATTTTTCGGTCCTAACGCTACCTACCGGGCCCTCGTTTGGTGTTTTCCCATTGGTGCTATTGCGCCCATCATTCTTTGGCTCTACTGCCGCAACAAAAAGAACAGCATAGTAAGGAAGATTAACCTTCCCGTCTTATTTGGTTCTCTATCATGGATTCCTCCGGCTACGGGACTCAACTTTTCAGTGTGGGCATTAGTATGCTATCTTTTCAATTACGTCATCAAGAGGAGACATTCGGCTTGGTGGGCCAAATACACAATGACATTAAGTGCGGCTTTAGATTCCGGACTTGCGTTTGGATTAGTAGTGGTGTTTTTCGGATT